TACTTTTGAGTTTTATTTTAGTCCCGATCTGTACAAATTTACAATATATTCTACCGACTTCCTTTATTGTTGTTTTTCTAGGACTCACTCTGCAGTAACATGCTTTACGAAGACACCAATATTTGAGAACCCGTATTACTAATGTTTGCCACATTTAACAACCATGTTTCGCAACCACGCAGTAGGGCAGAAAAATGCACTTATCACTCCTTTAAGAATGGTGTAAGGTAAGCACTTTTTATGAGTGCAGTGCATTTTAATCCTGCAGAGTTTTCATTTTTGATAAGTGTGAAACGGAATCAAGTATGCTGAAGTTCCACTCCAGGATTTAGCTGGCTAACTAGACAAGTGATCCTTCAGAAGTCAGGAGTACGTGGCTAAATAAAAAAGGTGTCGAAAAACACTTCCGACTAGTGACAACCATCACCACAATCTTCAACCACTGAAGATAACAATAAGAAAAATAACTTCACTTGCCAATGCACTTAATAAGTTCTTTTTATAAATCAGTGAACCGGTATGATTTTGTTTGCGTATAGTTTGGTAACTACGAGACATTCTCTGCTAAGTAAAGCTTCAGATTAAGTACGAGCATCGGTTTATAGTTACGGATGCAAGACACTTTTAACAAAAAATTTAGAGAAATTGAAACTTACTGTTTCTGATAGCTGTCTTCTCCTATAAAAAGTAGCCCATGTCTGTTCCCCACCAACTGAAGGATCCAAGACTATGTCACCAGAACGAGGTGCCACCAATATGCTATTTTTCGGTAAGTTTCCAGATCCTGGGCCTAAAGTCACAGGTGTTGTTGGTGATGGTCCCATGAAACAATTATTGGAAAGTTTAAAACCAGATAATATGCGGGCATTGGAACACAACCAAGCTACATCTGCTTTCACATGATCAGAAATATGAACATTATCCAAAGCGATAACACGACGTAAACACGCATTTTCGCCTATAAAACAATTATCTCCCAAAACGCAGTCAATCAGGCAAGCATGAGCTGAAACCTCACACTTGGGTCCAATAAAACAAGCCCCAATTAGTCGTGCTGTGTGATGGATTTTCGCCGATGCAGAGACAAAAACTTGCGGACCAACTGCTAAAATTTCAGAATCCAAGGATGATGAGTTAGCATAAAGCGGTGGCAATGAGAAACAAAATCCACCTTGTCGAGACAGAAGTCGGAAATTTAAGTCTATCAAACTACTGAGATCGGGAGCAGCTTGAACTACTATTGGCCCTTTAGGTAGCGATTCAATGTGAATAGTATACTCCATAATTTCTTCATTTGTTAGTACTCCATTAACAAGATCATCCATTGTTTCATAATCAAAATTATCCTAAGTAACAGAAAACAAAAGCAACCAAGCTGTAGTGTTTAGATACCTGAGCAAGATATGGTATACAAAATCAGCACAAATTTATATGAATTAAAAGCCATGTTAGTAGGAATGAACTTCACTTAGTCAACCTAAAAGTAACATGTTTACTAAACTTGCACAATAAAAAAAACTAGTATTGTGAACACAAGTGGAAAGCAACGGCTGCATTCTGTAGCAGCCAGAAGCTGTCCCAGCTCATCCAAGCCGCCAGCGACAAAAAGTAGCGCGACGGTCTATGTGGCAGATGACACTCCGAATAACAACACAGAAAGATGCTTGGAACACTGGTCAATTTGAAAAACAGTTGAGTTGGCTCACAGTGCCAGTATTCAATATTCTTAACCACGGTGATCCATGGTCGGTTAGTACTGATCCACCTAACGAAGTGGAGATTTAAAACGAACTCCAAGTACCGAAACACTCTAAGGCACTAGGTCCAGACGACTTATTGACGGCTTCTTTTGAAGATGGTGGTGAAATCCTAGTCAAGGAACTGACTGAATTGTTTAGGAAAGCCATAAATGTACTTACATCAAGAAAAGGTTTTCTGAATGCATATGATATTTATCATGCTATTAGTGTAACCAGTTGCACCTAAAATATTGGATGTTGTCTTGCTTCGCATGCTTTGTGAAACACGTGAGAAACTGATTTGGGATGAGCAGACCGGCTTTTATTCAGGTTGTGGGTGCACTGATTAGGTGTTCACTCTTCTTCATTTGCTAGAACGCCGTCCCATGTATTGCAGGCTAACAACCGTATTTCTTGATATTAGGGCTGTTTCCGACTCGTTGGACAGGGCTGTCCTATAGAAGTGCCTGTTAGAGAGAGATGTTCCTGAGAACTTTGTCAACATCCTGAAATTCCTATATAAAAGCACTTCACGTGAGGTGAGGGTGATCACCAGCTATCAACACTGTTTTCAACTAACAATTAGATTAGGCAGGGTTGTTAGACCTCATCATTTCTTCTTAACTTTCCAGTAATGACATTCTAGAGATAACTTAAAAAATGTACCTGGTGGTTGTGGTATAGATCTACTGTTTGCAGAAAGATTTTTAACCTTGAGTATGCAGACGATTTCGTCTTACTGTGTGGTAGTATACAAACTGCCTTAATCGCACTTAATCAGTAGGCAACCAGCGTTTGCAAGTACAGTGTGTGCTTTACTGGATCTGCACTCAACCTCGCAGATGAACCGTTAGAAGTAATGGACAAGCTTGTTTACTGAAGTAATTGTGTGAACTACAAATTTCATGCTAGTGGCTTCCATACAGTTTGCTGTTCGCTAGCTCTGGGACAGTGCAGAAAGAGGGGTTGGTCAGTGCACTATGTGGTGCTGTGGAATGAAGAACAGATGTTGGATTAGTACCTGCTGGTGCACCACGATTCAGTTAATAGAACCCAAGAGGTAATTCGAATCAGTGGCTCAGGACGTTATCAGATATAGATGAGAATCATAATTAATGGCAAACACGCTGCGATTTTCTCCTCTCCTCCCTTTCGGGAAGTAAAATAAAGTAACGAACGCTCTTTAAAATGCTCTTGATAAGTAAGCTTGCTTATTTTCATGATACCGTTTATTTCCTATTCATCTACTGTTTTGTTGGTGTCATGTGGTGCATCTTTTGGCGCCCATATACTACTTAGATTTTGTCTAAATAATAATAATTAAAATACTCAATAAACAGTCTTTGAGAAACAACAGATTTCATCTTAAGACGAAAATTTTGGTAAACTAGGATGTGCTGCACATAAAACTAGTGATATCAATCATTTATCCAAGCAGAAAGAAGGTAGACATGACACGATTACCACAAATTTAAGATAATCTCCCAACTCTTCGAGCAACAGCTTCAATCACAAACGTATTTCACCGGCATCTGTTAGGATACTATTCCAATCCGCTTTTCTTTACGACAGAACTCACAAGCAGGATCGCTTGTTATCACAAAATATATAACATATGGAGGTAATGTTTGTTGTTCTCTAGGTTTGGGTATTCGACCAAGGATATTTTATCACCGGTGTCCATGACATTATTAACATTAATTTCACTGACAGTTTGAACATATTTGCACTTTCTTTTCATTTGAATTTCATCCAGGTGAAATTGAGAGTAGAGATGTCTGCTTTCAGCCTTGAATTCTATTAGATCTTTTAGAACTAATTATTTGTTGTGACGTAAAACTCTGCTGTCACTTACTGCTGTTGTATCCCATTGTTGATCTACTTGTTTGAATATCAGTTGACTGTTCTTTCTAATACCTAGCTGGGGTCTTCGAGATGCTAAGAACCGATGGCTACACGTTGTTAGTAACACGGCTCGAAATAGTTTTAATGGTGCAGATGCATTCACTCTTTCTGATTTTCCAGATCCACTGGTTTCTATGTTGAAACCAGTCAGTCAGGCAGTAAATTCTCATTATTCTCCAAGTAACTTCTTTATCGTGTACATTTCCATTTGTTATAGCTTTTTATACTACGTATTTCCCCTACCTTTATGCGTCCTTTATAAAGTATAGCAACTTGAACTGCTGAACTTTTGGAAATTCAGTTAAGTTCTACGTGCCTGTTACTTTCGTCATGCTTCTAGTCATTCTCTTGCTGACTTAGAGCTCACACGTACTAAGATAATAGTATCTTCTCGGTCACCATTGTGATTTTAATTGTATATTCATGATTACATCTAATATGGGACTTGATAACAGTTCCTCTCTTACTTAGAACATGGAAAAAACTTCTATCTAGGCAGAAAACACCTTGTATAAAGATGAAACCGTAAGCCGCTTAAATACCAGGTGACATTAAACATATTGACAGAAAATCTTGCAACTTCTCATAATTATTCATCATGTTTGTTGGTAACTGTTTATCTGGACATTCCTGTCAACAATAATATTGCATTTATTCCAAAGTCACCACCACAAATAAACTTCACAGAACATAAATTAACATTGGGAAGAGACGTAGGCTGACAAGTTCCAGGAAGAATACAAGACGAATCTACACAAAACTATCTACTTATTCTTATAATAATTTCATTTTCTAACACTAGAAAAATCACACTAAGAAATCTAGGTATTAGGAGAACTTGAAAAAAGGATTTACGTAAGAATTCATCATTACAAAGAGTTTCGTAAAATTAATACTCAGTATAAACAGAACCCTATAAACTTAAGATTATGAAACACAAGAAATCATAACAATAACTTACTTGAAATAATGGTGGTATGTGGTTGCTGCATACAGCCAGTTGAATATCCATTAACTGAGATGACTCAATGACCTCTCCGCTTTTCATGACATCGCTTACGAGAATTGGGGAAACTTCACCTTGAGACTCATGTAAAAGGTTTATCAGACGATTATTATTAGTTCTTGAAAATATAACATTAACTTTAAACTCAGAAGCTTGCACCGGGCTTATCACCTCAGTGAGAGACGGTAACAGAAGGGTGAGTATGGCATTTGGCATTTTTTCACGCCGCTCCTTATGTTTCTGCACATACTTTGTCAGAGAAACACCACATATCAGATCGGCAGGAGCGAGTAAGAAGTCTGATACTCCATTAAGAAATTCACTTGACTCAAGATCCCGCATAATATCACCTAAATTGTGACATTTCTCAACATTTCGTACACAGATCTTCAATCCAGGGAAACAACTATTTAATTTAACTTGCTTTATAAATGTCTGGATTTTCTTATAACTTTTAATAGTATATATAAGGATATTTTTGAAACCATCAGAGGCAAGTGTAGATAAATTAATGTACAGCAGAGGGACATTACCCAATGGAAGTAAACATGGAGGGATGAATTCACTCAACGGTTCAAAACGGTTAAACAAAAGATCTGCAATTAATACTGCAGTTAGTTCCTTATCCGTCTGTCCATAAACAGAGGACGCACCATCTGAGGCACCCTTAGGTTTGGTTTTGTTACTCTTCGATTTATTCATTACATAGACTAAAAGCAAAATAAAAGTGAAGAGAAATTGAATACAATACATTAGCACAGAAGGTTTACGAATGTCTGGCAATACGAAAATAATTATAGGTGCAAGTGGACAAAAGAAAACATTTGATTTTTGTATCAAGGGGATAGATAAGCATTTTGCTTAGCAAGTCTTGCTTTTGGTTTTGTGGGAAGCCATACACATGATACCACCAAACTTATTAAAACCACCATGCATTCTTATAGATGAACCAACATAGAACTTGGCACAGATACGGTTTAGTTAAAGCTGTGACACAGCGAAAAGCCAATGAATGAGGTATTACAAGAACTTATTGACACTACAAAGAACAAAAGCATGTGGAAAAAGGAATAGATTAATATACCTGAGACAGTGTAGATTATAACCTACACTAGTTTTATTTTATTTCGATAGAAATAACGTTTTGTCTCGTCGATACATTCACCACATATACGAGGTAAATTATCGTTCTGCCTATCTGTCACCAAAAGAAGATATAAAAAAGGATTCAACCTATTTATGCAAATTTAAACTAGAGCAGTCAACTCAATAGACACTATTGCTGATCTTGAGCAAGTGGCACTACAAGTTGCGACATCATTCAAGAGATCACTATACGTAAAGGTGTTATAGTTTTCTTCTATACCTCTGATTCAGTTCTTCAATGAACAGAGAAATCCCGGTCCTTCTAAAAAGACTTATCCTACCAAGCTTCCCATATGCATATTTCAGTAGCTCCCACTTATAATTCACTATTCACACAGCATTTAAAAACTAGCTTCATGAAACCAGATAGGTAAATCTAAAACAGCTGGCTTCTAGAAGCCATACTTTCATTTGCTTTTAATATATATATATATAACATATATTATACATCAAATCTGAGGCTACTACTGGTTGTCCAACGTCAGATACCGTATTGCTTCTGTGGTTTAGCTTTTCTACTATTTAAATGGCACGATGACGTAGCCAAAGAGGAATGAGAAAATAAAACTTAAAAACCAAAAATACTTATGCAAACATTCACCGGTGAAACTAAATCACTTCGAATATATTTGGTATTTGGGTTTTGAAAGACCTTATGCAAAAATAATTAATAAACGCTAGTAGTGACGATTAATTATCATGATCTGAAAACTATGAGATGTGCATTTGCAATGTGGCCTTGGAAACGAATTTCCCACGAGTATCCAATATCCAATATCCTGATTACGAGTTAGTATACACCAGTGATTTCTTTGAGCTCGCTTCTCGATTGTAAGGTAGAGGTTCCAGATCTTCGGTGAACTTATGTGTAGTAAGTCCGACCACTCGACTGCTCTAGCTCTGGTAGACTCCACGAGGAGTGGTGCGAGGATTGGTCAAGATTGGGGTTTGTAGTGTGCAGTATGTTAGGACTCAGCTGCTGTAGTGAATGGAGTTTGACCTAACACCCGTTGGTCATTCGGTGTAGTCATAAAATCAGAATAATAATAGGTTGTAGTGTAGATAATATAGGTTGAGATAAGTGAAATAATAAGGGTGATTTAAGGAAAAGATAGAGTAGTCGGTACAGTGAGAGAAGACAGGACGGGTCGTGGGGATTTAGCTTGTATGCTTATCCATTGACAATGTGGTTTCAAATTTTAACAGGGTTTGCGCGCGCTCCTTGAATACGACGTGCATTTTCCCCTCTAACAGGAAATATCCACTTTTGTGAATAAATCGTTTGGGAAACCTGATCTTCCTATCCGGCGAATTTTATTCAACCATTTCTTCTTCACCGAGCCTGTGTTTGGTACTTCCCACTGTCTCGAACTACTGCCCAAGCTTCAGGTGCTACTTCTGTAGCAACATCCCCCTCACTCTTTCAAATATACAGGACTTGTTGGTCTGTTACGTGATTGTTGTGAAGCCGAATAACCCCAAAGTTACAGGTAAAGTCAAAAGCTTTTACTTATATACTTTATCTTTCTGTTCTGTGCTTTCTACTGTCTTTTGCCGTCAGTCTATTGGACAAAACTCCACTGTCCCTTATCATTTAATCATCGGTATTATTTTAGGAGTAAAATGACTATAGATTGTCACCCCAAGATAAGTAATGGGAGACCATACACCGTAGTCACCAGAGCTTCAGCAAAACTAAGCAAACAGGTGAATAGTATGACACCTATATCCACAGTAGGCCTTGAAACAAAGAGGAAGGCCAATAAGAAACGTTCACGACGTCGCAAGACGACGAAAACGTTCCCCAAGAAGGCAGACGATTGCAAGGTCTGCAATTCTATTGTCGAACAAGCAGACTCTGCTTTCGAATGTAACTTTTGTAAGCAATGGGTACATTGTAGATGTGACACCGGAGTACCAAAGGTATATTACGATTTTATGCGTAAGAACCCATGCCCATGGTTCTGGTACATATGCCCAGGTTGCCGTCCTAATGCAGCCTCGTGTAGTTCCTCGAAAGCTACAGATGGCATAGAGATATCAGGAAAAAACGTGAAACGTTTTACTCCCACCAACTCAGAAAAAAGCACAATTGCATGTAAATCGGGGATACCAAAATCCACACCGGTTATACTTGCAATTCCTGCCATAACTGCCCCAGACACAGAGGTTGAAGCACCAAGGGTACCTGTCGCTGGGAAAAGACCCTTACCGTCCACCAGTAAAAGTGGCCACAGCACTGCGACACATAATAATACCCAGTTGCACCAGACGAAACAAAACGGTCCTAAGGGGGATGACAAATGTGCGAGGACCGAACATAAATCCACGGTCAGTCGATCAGACTGCGTTATCCTCTTTAATGTACCAGACTGTAGCAGTAGTCTGCTGGAAAACAGGGCCCTGTTTGATCAGGAACAGTGGTCCAACTTGTGTAGCACACTGGAACTGGACATCCAACCAGTAAAACTGTGCAGATTGTATAAGGGCACTGCTGCTCCTCAAGGAAAACCATCCCCACTGAGGGTAACACTAGGCTCTGCCGAAGATGCCGAAAAAGTTTTATTGACTTCCCAAGTCCTTTCTATAGGGAGGACCTGCAATATACGTGTTAGGCCAGATAGGCCATGGAAGGAAAGACAGATGGCGAGGGAGTCGCCAGAGCTTATTCCTTCTGCCTCCATGGTTGTTCACGGCATTCCCGAACTGGTGACTAGGAACGCTTGTGAGAAGCACTGTCATGGTGTAGAGCAGTGGAGATGGTTGGCATCCCAGATGGCTCTGGGAAGTTCAGGGGCTGTCTCTATTTTTAGACTGCCTCGAACCACTCACCTAATGTCAATTAACACCCCACGTCTGTTAGCTGTTAAGTTCAGCTCCCGAGACCACTTGACTACTGCTCCCCAGAGATGGTACGAGACCAAGGACAAAGTCAGTAGTAACATTCGCCGCTGCGAGAGCCGGCCTCGTATCCAAAGGAGAGAGCAAAACGTTGTCATAGAACATCCCCAACCCCTAGTCACAATACAGCGGTGCAGCACGGACGATGATAGCCAGTGTCATCCAAGTGCTCCGATTGAATCAGAAGAAAAAAACGCCAACAGGACGGTTCCCGGGGAATCGGCCAACTAGTTCGTAGGATAACTCCTCAACCGACAGCCCACATCACGTCAACCACCCCCTAATACGGGGACGTGGTGAGACTGACTACCAGTTGCTTGTACAGTAATGTGAGAGGTCTAAGAGGCGAAATAGCTGAACTTAGATACCTACAATCACAGCTGAACTCCAAAATCATAATACTGACGGAAATGTGACTAACCCCTACGGTGGCAGACAGCGAAGTCAGTATAAATGATATGGTCCCAGTCAGGCGAGATAGGGATCTGAAAGAAGGAGGTGGAGTCGCCATATACGTCGACAAACAGCTCAGATGTGTCCATGCAATCGACCCTCCCCTCATTGAGCTCCCTGACTCCATATGGTGCCATTTCACCGTTGGGTACTGTAAGTATCTAGTGGGCAGCATTTACAGATCACCTTCATGTGGAGCAGACCACAACCAGGTACTGCTGAATGCAATTTCAGCGACACAAGACATGGGTTATGATCAAATTGTCATAGCTGGAGACTTCAATGCCCCATCTCTTAACTTGATGACGGGATGTGCGCAGGACAGATTTGATCGAAATCTGCTGCATACTATCACGGAGGCCGGATTCACCGAAAATGTCAGAATGGATACTAGATGCGGCCCAGATGGGAAGTCTTCTAGACTGGATTACGTGCTCAATAGTGACCAGCTACTAGTGGAAAACGTTCAGATCACGACTCCCATAGGTAGTAGTGACCACGCGGTCATAACATTCGACATAGTCCTCCGCGAGCGTTTACAGTGGGACAATACACAGCCCTATCTGTGTTATAACAAAGCCAATTACACCGAAATGCTAAGACTTTTGTCTGAAGCAAATTGGCCAAAAAATTGGACAGAGCTTACAGTAGAAGAACACTGGAGAGTGGTAAAGGAGATCATTCACCAGGCGATCTCAGACACTGTTCCTTTGGTCACACCTAAAGCTAGAAAGCAACGTTCATGGCTAAAAAGGGGGACACAACGCCTTCTACAGGCGAAGCGAAAAGCCTGGTTTGCGTGGCGAGTATCGCAGAGTCAACCCGAACATGAAGAGTACCTCGAACTCAGGAATCGGTGTAACATACGAGTCCGGAGTGATAGAAGGACATTTCAGAGAAACCTCGCCAATAAGCTTCTCGTGAACCCCAAAAGCCTATACAGGTTTATGTCTGAAAGAAAACCGACCAACCAGGGAGCTTGCAATATAGTGAGTTCTGATGCGAAATATCTTACTAGTCTTGAAATGGCAGAGACATTCAGTCTAGCCTTTCACAGGCAACTGAACAGTAACGAGGATTTTACCCTCACAAAACATCAAGATCACAATGCAAGACCATCGTGCGAAAACCTGCTGGGTACATTTCAAATTACCCTGGCTATGGTACTCGTAAAATTGGGAAAGTTGGTTTCGGGAAAGTCTGCAGGTTGCGATGACATAAGACCATCCGTCCTGAAGCAGTGTTCAGAAAGTCTGTGCCAACCCCTAAGTGATCTGTTTCAACACTCCTTTGATGTGGGGAAACTTCCATGTGAATGGAAACGAGCCATCCTATCCCCTATCTTCAAGGGTGGTGACCGGCAGAACGCGACCAGTTACAGACCAGTTGCGCTACTCCCAGTGATATCGAAGATATTGGAAAGTCTCATTGACGACCACATGAGAAAATACTTCGACGGGACTAACCTACTCCATGAAGCAAGGCACGGTTTCAGGAGGGGAAGATCCTGTGTGACGAATCTTCTACTAGCTTGGAACGATTGGACACTATCCTGGGATATAATGGCACCAGTCCATGTGATCTTTCTCGACTTCGCGAAAGCATTCGACACAGTTCACCATGGTCTGCTCCTTCACAAAATAAGCAAGGCGGGTGTTTCTGGAGCACTTCTCACATGGCTGGAAGATTATTTAGGCGAGAGAGAATTCTGCACCAAAGTCAACCGCATCCGATCATCCTGGCACACCTCGGCATCAGGGGTTCCTCAGGGTTCTATCTTAGGGCCGTTGATGTTTTTGATTTTTATCAACGACCTGCCCTGTCAACTGAATTGCTCTGCGCTTCTTTACGCTGACGACGTAAAGATTTGGAGAGCAACAGACTCATCGGAAGACTCCGACAGATTGCAGGCTGACCTGCAAATGCTGGAGGACTGGGCCCTGGCTAACGGAATGCCTTCCAACCTAAAGAAGTGCAAAGTAGTGCAACTTCATTCCGGCAGGTCACAGAGTGCAAATTACACCCTTGGTGGCCAGAACTTGAGTTGTGTGCCATCAGAACGCGACATAGGCCTTATTTTAACAGAAAAGCTAGACACCAGTGTAAATTACACGAGGGACGTCGACAAAGCTTACACCACTTTACACTTTATGCATAGGCAGCTGGGAGCTCTTACTCCCGAACTATTCTTAACGTTGTATACGACATACGTGAGGCCACTCCTTGAGGTGCATAACATCATTGCTCCTCCGCTACTCAAAAGGGATGCTAACAT